TAAATGGTACTGAAGCTCTGCTCCTACTTTACACATGAAGACTAAACAAATGTCTTATCACCTGCAAATGAGTGGACTGAAAAACCCTTTGAAATTAACCACTTGTACATTTTGTTTACCCACTCTGACATGCAGATATGTATCACAACCTCTCGTGGAGGGTATGTTCTTTTCACCTGATGTCACTGGACTTGTCAGCACTGAGAGTGATGAGGTTCAGACTGGTGTCACCAGGACTTTCTGTGACCTGGGTTTCCCTGCACACAGAGCCCAGGAGCAGCTGTTTGCCAGGCACCTCAGAAACCATGACTGTGCTAATGCAGCTCGTCCTCCCCAGCAYTCGCTGTCAAGTGGCACAGTTCTGCTGCACATGCTGGTGACAGCCCTGCCAAGAGCTGCCAGCGATCCTGGCACGGCCAGGCTCTGTCCCTCTGGCAATTTCTGAGTGATGTTCTTAGATATTGTGGGGGCATAAGCGWTGGGGAGACAAACCTGCATTTTCATTTTTTAATTTAGAAGCCGATGTACTTCAGAACCCATGACCAGCACCTGGAGCCCTGTCTTGCTAAAAGACATTAAGGAGGAAAAAAAATGATGCTGAAGTGCTGACTCGGTGCGGCCGAGGGACACACAGAGCCCAGCACCTCRCAACGTCCCTGGGATGCTGCCCCTCGGCCGGACACCTCCCTCACCATCCTCATAGTTCATCCTTTAGGGTTTACTTGTTCACACCAGGCACTTGGCAGCAGTGAAGTTGTTGGGGGGATTTTTTTCCCCGTTGGGTGACACAGCCTCTCAGAGCTGGGAGAAGCAGCGGTGCGATGCCGAGAGCACGGCGGCTCCTGCGGAGGGGCCCGGCCGGGGAAGGGAAGCAGGAAAGGAGCGGAGGAGGTGGCCCAGCCGCTTCTCCCACAGAATCACAGAGTAGCTGGGGTAGGGAGGGACCTCTGGAGATCCCCCAGAGCAGCCCCTCTGCCAAGGCAGGGTCACCTAGAGCAGGTGACACAGGAACGCGTCCAGCTGGGGTTTGTTCGAATGTCTCCAGCAAGGGAGACTCCACACCCTCCCTGGGCGCTCGGGCCAGCTCCGAGCTGAGGCACCCGGGTTCCGCGGACCCCCGGGCCGGCCTTCCCCGGCTCTTCGGCCCTCACACGCCGCGGCTCCCGCTCCTTACATAACCCCGGCCCCTCCGAGCGCCCGCCCGGGGGCTGCGGGCCCGGCCSTACCTGATGTAGGGGCTGGCGGCCGCCAGGATGTTCTTCTGCACCGGGATCTCCTCGCCTTCCAGCACCAGGTGAGCGTCGCAGAACCGCGTCTCCTCCCGGAACGAGCTGAGCGCCCGCAGCAGCCGCGCCGGGTGCTGCGGGTCCGACACGGCGCTGGGGCCCGACATGGTGCTGCTGCCGCCGCCGAGCCGGGCCGGGCCGGGCCGGCTCAGTCCCTGCCCTCACACCATGGCTGAGCGCCCGCCCGCCGCTGACATCATTCGCGGCATCATCTCCCCGCGCCGCCCCGCCTGCCCTCGGGCACCGCGGCCCCTCAGCGGGCGGGGCGGCCACGGCCCGCGCAAACATCGGCTTTTGTCTCCTCACGCCTTTGCGATGGCGCTGTACAGGGTCCGGGGAAGGGAAAGGGGCTGGGGGAAGGGCTGGAGAGCCCAGGAGCGGCTGAGGGAGCTGAGGGGGGGCTCAGCCTGGGGAAAAGGGGGTTCAGGGGGGACCTTGTGGCTCTGCACAGCTCCCCGGCAGGAGGATGGAGCCGGCTGGGGTCAGACTCTTGTCCAGGCAACGAGCGACGGGATAAGAGGAAATAGACCTAAGCCACGCCAGGGGGAAGTTAGGTTGGGCATTAAGAGAAATTTCTTCCCCAAAAAGGGCGATTTGACATTGGTATGGGCTGCCCTGGGAGGTGGTGGAATCACCAACCGTGGAGGTTGGCACTCGGTGCACCAACCGTGGCACCGAGTGCCATGGTCTGGATGACACAGTGGTCTTTGGTCATTGTTGGGCTTGATGGTCTCAAAGGTCTTTTCCAAGCTAATTGGATTCTGTGATCCTGTAAAAGTGGCCTTTTATTTATTTATTTGTTCCCTTACAYGAGCTGGAGGTGAATGCTACTGGTGAAGGCACAAGGAAAAGTAAAAGAATGAGAATTAAATATCGCAAGACTCACGGTGGAAGTGCATTTTTCTGAAGCTGCCCACTGCAAATGTGGCCTTTTCCAGCAAAAAAAAAGATTTTTAGGAGAGTTCATATGGTAAATTTTAGGCCATTTATTATTGTTCTTAATTGCACATTAAGAGATTACTTGATTCCATCTGCTTTCTTAACAGCATCCGACATTCAAGCAGTGAAACTATTTGCACTGAGTAAAAGTGTTTCACAAACTGTGATCTGCTCTAAAATACACCCAGCCAGTGCTGCCAGGGGGAACCAGCACAGCAGCTCAGCGTGTTCCCTGCACTGACAGGCACAGCAGAATTGGGATTTCCCAGTCTCTGGAACACAAGATAGATATCATGCTCTCCATGCCTTCATTGGGAAAATAACATTTCCAGTGGACCTGATTTACTAAAGCTGGGATGGGTCACATGCCTTTATTACTTGCATTTCAGTGAAATGTAACAAAATTTTATCACTCATTCAGATTGATGGTGTCTCCAAATAATTTTACCACTTGGAAAATGAATTAGGGTGTCTGGAAGTGACCCCGTAGGAAAGAGAAATGAATGCCTTCACAAAGGCAGCCTTGTTCTTTCCAAGCTGGACACAATGCTGGTTTGTTCTGCAGATGGAGATTGCAGCTGGGACATCCTCACATGGAGACCCAGCATTTCAAACTCTGGGCCTGGGAAAAGAGTGTGCTCAGCCCTTGCTGAGGTGCTCACTATCTGCAGAGGGTCACAGGCAGCAGCACCGTGCTCCAGGTGTGCTGTGCAGCTCTGAAYAAGAGTTTTAGAAGCAGAGGATGTAGGACAGAAGGCCTAAACCCACAGTAATGTACATGAAACACCAGCAGCTTTGCAACACTTGTTGTCAAACGTGCCCATTTACAAATGTTAGAAGGGCATTTTTTCTGGYTTGGGTATAATCATCCAGGACGTCAGGGGTAGGTTGAGGATCCAGAGGACACATTCCCAGCTCTCTTTGAGGGTAATGAAGGCAGAGAGCACACTGCTCCTTGGCTGCGGGGAAAGATGTATTTTGCTTGTCATTAATACTCAGGTAATTGTAGACCCAAGGGAGCAGTGGTTTAAATTATTGCGAAAGCTGTCATTGAGTGGCCTGGTTATTTGAAAAGAAAGACACCGGTGTGTTTCCCTGCCTCCTGCACAGATTGTTACATTGGAAAACACTGTTGCATTTCTGGTTTTTAACTAGTCCTGGTAAACACTGTTTTTGCTTCCTCCTGCTGCTTATGTGGGGCAATGGGACAAGGTGTAACAGATAATATCCACTTCCAGRGAACAAATTAATTGTAATACCTTGTTATTTGTTCCATTTAATGAAGCTATTAATAAAAAAAACTAACAAACCCAAAAAACAAAACMCAAAAACAACAACAAACCAAACCACACCACTCTATCAAGGTCCATTTGTAGCATCTCTGAGGTAATTAATTATATGTATGCACACCCATGGCCTAATTATCTCGCTCAATTATATATTTTCCTTATAATGGAGATACCTCTCTTCACTTTTTTTTTTTTTTATTTGCAGTCACAATCTAGATTTGTGTTAAGCCCCTATATTAACTCTGTGACTTTTGCTGGGCTAATTTATGACTTACATTGGTGCAAAAGAAGAATCAAACCTTTCTGGCCCTTGAGATTTCATTCATAGCAAARGGTGTCAGAAGCAAACCAAATGACACTCATTACCACGTGCCATGTTACCACATCAAAAAACCCTACGAGCCTTGCAGCCACTTGGCAAAGCATATCTGCATTTCCCCTTGCTTCTGTCAGCCTGGAAATGATAGAGTGTGTTACCATATTCAGGGYAAATGTTTCATCAGATTGGTATTGCAACCACTAAAAACATTCTTGAACAAATTTGTGATTAGCTGTATGGTTTTATTCCCATTGTCTCTGCTGCAGGAGGATATTGGGATTGGCCAATGCTGATTTACATTGTTTTTCTCCTCAGGTTTGCTACAAACTTAATGCTAATTAAATCYTGTGTAGTACTGACCAAGGGAAGATGGCATATCTCATTTAAATAATCATACCCAAGACAAGTTCTTATAATTTATTTTCTGCACTATTTCTACAAGAATGTAAATAATATATTTGCTTTCTTAGATTAAAGGTTGTTTTTATGATGAGTGTTTCCCTATCCTGTCATCTCTACCAGTAAGAATTAGCTCCTCAGAAGTCAAGTCACGCCTGTATCCAAACCTGTCATCATCCAAAAACATAACCCTRTGAGTACTACAGAAGAAATTCTGGAGACAAACTCTTAGAAGGAAATCTATAACAATGGTTAGACTTTTGATTCATTGCCACCTTGTAATTCTAGAAATATAYTTGTGGACATTTGCTAAATCCATACTTTTTCAGATGAAAAGAAACAACCTCAGAGCTGGTGTCTTTTGCCAATATCACAAGTCAGTCTTCCCTTCCAGTACTSGTTCCATATTACTTATAAAAAATGGAATTCAATTTCTTCTTTAGAAGATAGAATTCTATTTAAGCACTAGTGGCAATATGCCTTGAAAATACTAAAAGTGACCATTTCTGCAAACACACCTTACTGAAGTGTTTATTACCATTTTATGGAACCTGTAAACCTTTGAATGCACAAAACTGCATACTTTAACTACATCTGACCACAGTGTTGGGTTTTATTTACATTAAAAATCCCCTTTATCCTAACAAAGTGCAAAGAGGTAAGCAGAGAAACAGAGGTCTGGTTGTTAACAGAGCACACAGGAATTGTGGATGATGTTGATTCAGTTGCCAACTGAACATAAACACCTCAGGTAATCACAAACACCAAAGCCTCGGTTCTCATGTGGTGGGGAGGGAGTAGATCACAACAATTTCATTCTGTTTCCCACCTGTGAAACACTGTGAGCAGCACAGACACTGGGAATATGTGTGTAAAAGTGAAAGGTWCCTGAGTTGTGTGATGATACAGACACACCAGATGAACACCTGAAATAGATGGATATGCATCTGGTTTTCTCCATCAGTAAAGATGCCTCCAGCAGCAAAGATATCCACAATGAGAAAATACAATTTGAAGCAAAAAAATCTCTCACTTAAAGAAAACTCAATACCTCAAATCAGGAACACACTCAGGGGTAAGAAATGTCATTTCTGTGACACAACCAGTCACACTGTATTTGGCACTTGAATTTTATGTTGAAATGTGCTTTTTATTTGTGACTGTGAGTGAGAGTTGTGCACTTTTATCACGAAGCATCTGGTACAGGCAATGGCAAACACATGTGAGAACATAAGCAGACATAAAGCCAATGCTTAGTTATGGCAATAACAGCTTCTAGTCTCAGCTACTGTGGGGYTCAGATGAGGCCTAAATTAGGACTTACACTTTGTTCCTAAGCTATTTGTTACATATGAGTCTGAGTGCTTCTGGAAATGCACTGCCCTCATTCACACACATACTTCTATTAACAGAGACTAGTAGCAATATCAAATACTACAATTCTTATATTTTACACAATGTAATCATCTAATTACATGAAATGCCATGGCAGATATTCTGCCCAAKGAAAACTGATTTAAATACAAAGTGCTTAAGATTAAATGCCACTAAAGTATAATTGAATGTTACATATAACCGTCTACTCTATTTCAATAAAGTTACTTGGTTTTGTCAACATAAAAGCAAAAAATACACCATGAAATTATTAGAAGAGCTGGGGGGTGGGGTTTAGGTTCTGGAAAAGAAAAATGTAGCACCTCAGCATAATACTTTGGTTATAGTAGAGTTGAGGAAATCAAGCACCAAGAGAATACATTGACATGAATTATTGGTATCACAGCAAATAGTTTAGCATGAGTTTTTCTGGCAGGAGACAACTTTCATTGTCAGCTGCAGTCTTGCAACAGCCTATGGAAGTTACATGACCTGCAGACATTTGTGACTCATGCCATGCGTCACCCTATGAATGCAATACTTCATTTGCTCAGAAAGCTTTATTCTACTCAAATAAAATATTTCTTGTTACCTCTGTCTCCTATTCCCTGCCCCACAAGATGTATCCAACATATCAGCATTTCATAATGGTAATTCTTCATTAGGAATAGTAATATACCAGCTGTGCTCACAATAATTTGCAATAAAGTCATTTCTATCTCTTATAAGAGATTATATATAGATATTGAAGAGGTTATAATTACTCATTTCTTATCATAAGAGAAGGCCATTCCTGAAAGATATTATGYCCACATTCAGTAGAAGGTTATCTCAGTCTGTGCAATACAACAAATAGATTTTACTCAGTCTGAGTTTTCACATCTTGCTCTGGTATAAACATCCCATGCAGGTCCAGATGCATGTCTACATCTACCGTGGCTCGTCCCAACTCTGTGAATGTTTTAGCATCCAAGATAAGAAGGAAAGGTGGTTCCTTTGGATCACTCCTCACCACACAGGTCAGAACAACGCCTGTGACATACAGATGAAGAATTAGAAACATAAAATAGTTTCACTAAGTAGAAAAGATAACCCCATCTCACAGTGGAGGCATCAACCCAGCTTTCTTGACTAAAACCACTGAAACTTGTAAGATTTAATACAAAACTCATGCAACCCCAGCTCTCAGCATGKTGTCATTATTTTACCATCATCTTCTTCTTTTGCATCTGGGCGGGGAACAAAAACGGGCTCGGAGGGCCAGCAGTGGTCCTGTTCCCAGTGGAGCATTTCCTTTGTCTGGGTATTAAATTTCGCAATCTAAATAGTTATGGCAAGAAAAGAAAAATGTCAGTGACTCTGACAGTGGCTTTTTCCAAAAGTACAAAATGAACAGACTGCTGGCAGGGGGAACCAATCCTAAGGCAGGTGTCATCACAAGAAAAAAACACCTGAAAAATGTTAAATTTTTGAGTCATAATCGCACAATGCTCTTTTCATTTCATTTCATGAGATTGCACCTTTGATTTATGGGCTTTTAGTAGTTCACAAATGGTAACAGATCACAAGAGACCCTTCACTGTAAGTGAAGCCCCTCACTGTAGAGAGTCAAAGACACAGAATATTTAAGTTCTCTGTGCCAATTCACTGAGATTCTGTAGTACAGCAGGAAACAGGACTTAAACTTGCCATTTTCTAATCCTGTAKATTATTTTCCTTTATTACTACTTCCATATTTCTCAAGGCCGTCTTCTGTGCAGTAGTGTACATATGCCACAGCAAAGGCTGTTCCTAGTGGGGTATAAAGATTAAACCAGTGGGGCAGACACTGGGATTTATTGAAGGAACAAAGTGTGGATTTTCATCCCATTGAGTGGCCAAACCAATCTCCAGAGGGGARGCCTGGCATTTTCAGTTCAATTCCATTAAGGCCTTTTTTCTATCCATAGAGATGCAGTTCTATTCTTTTCCATTTTGATATTTAGCCAAAAAATATGTTTACACAAAAGTGAAACCATTCAAATTACTGGAGAAAGAATTTGGAAGAATTCTCTCTTCTAACCAAGATGACAGCACTTTCACTGACAGACTTTACTTAAGGATTAGGTGGTTGTGCTTGTATTAATTAAACTGCAACTGATGTGAAAAAAGAACCTCATACCAGCATTTTTTATTGTCTTTAACTCAAACAGAGATTATCTACGCTGTAAATGATGAACTTGCAGATTTGTTTGAGTTATTGTCAGATGTGCTGCAATAAATTTTCTTGCATCATGCAGAAATCCAGCTTTGTTTTGTAATCAGTTGTGGTAATTATATACAAGAACCAACAGTGGCCTCAGTYTGTGCTGCCTTGTAGTCACAGAACGAGAATTGTTACGAGTGAGTCGGTCTGTATAATAATTGTACCTTCAAATATAAATATTTTTCCTTTTAATCTGTTTGTACTCTAAGCTGTCTCCTGAAAAGTTGACATTATGGCCATGTAAACAAAGCATTTGCTACCCTATAATAGAGAATTAGCCAGCAAAATATAAAGCTTTCCTCAAAATTAGGTATTGTTTTAATACTTAAAACTTATTAGGTAATGTTGCAATAGCTTATTTTTTTAGTTAGGTTTCCTAAATGAAAAAAAAGTATTAAAAATATCTAATACTTTTTCTTCCTACTCTTTTCTTTATAGTCCTTGGTACATCACAGAAGGTTCAGCCCAATTTTTGTGAATGTAAAACTGGAGAAAGAAGCCTGAGTTTATGAATACTTTATGAGGGAAATGGTACAACRTGAGCTTATCCTTATGAGAATTTAGGCTTTTCATGTTTCTTTGCATGTAAATGACCCACTGGAAAACACTGGGGAAAGGGAAAACACTGACTTTATAAATGCTAATCAAACCTTTGTAGGAACTGGGCTCCACTTGACTTCTGTTGCAAAGACATACTTGTATTTTTTGCCATTATAGTCATAGTTGATGCGAGGCAGTTCTATCCCTGTGTGAAATAAAGTTCAAGACTTAGCAACAAGACAAGAAAATACCTCAAGTGTACACCTATATAGAGACTCCAATCTTCAGCAAGTTTTGCCTTGTGAAAAACCTTTACATTACTTAAAAATGGTGTTGTATAGATTTTGCATGTCTGAATTTCTAAGAAGATGAAGATGGGTATCAACATAAGTGAGCCAGGGTTGTTAGTTCAAAAAGCCAAAATTTTTCATTCTTAGGGATTCACTAGACTGGAATTTGTGATGCTTTTCTGCTTTGGGTCTATTTCTTTATAAATACATGACATGAACAATTGGGATAGAATTGGAAGCTACCGTTCTAAGAAATTACTTTCACCTTAGGTAAATACATATTTACACATTCCTGTTATTAACTCCTAATAAAAGGTTAAAAATCTGCTTTCAAAGGCAATCTTTACAAAAGGCAGCTAAACCTGAAGTAGTACTTATAACAGACTTATTTAACTAAAATGACTCTTGTAACAGGTAGATTTTGAGGCCTTATTAATAGTTGTGAGATCAGATTTGGAATCCTGCATTAATACAAAACTAATGTAACACCAGATATTCAAAGGATGTGTCTCACCTTCACACAGRATTTCAGGTTGGCAATAGATGTTCCCATCTTTCTCCTTTACAGCAGTTGCAGTACAGGGAAGTGTGACTAAATTAGAACCCACTTCAGCATCCTGAAAGAGACAAATGCTGGAAAAGTAATGGATCTCTAAAAATATGCTTCTAATTTAGATTTTTCATCAGGTCTGATATTAACAATTTGGGGATTAAACAAATAAGCTTCAAGGAGATCCTTCTCATGGCATTTTAGATTCTGAGGTTTTCATTAGAAATCTTGTTGCACTCAGAGTATTTTAATATGACATAGAATAACTACTTTGAATCCCATGGAGTCCATAGAAAAGTTTAGATACACATGGCTGGAGTCCAGAAGTATAATAAATTTGTGAATTTAACAAATGAAGATGGGTTTTAAGGAATGAGGTAACAAATTTCCACTAAAAGTCACCAAGGTTAGGTTTTTGCAACTGCAGAAAATCAAGTGCAAAAATAGGTGTGATACAATCTTTAATGGGCTACTGCTGAATTCTTAAGATCGCTGAACAGCTGGTGTGACCTCCTTTGTCATTGCTGCAGAGCTGTTTTTGAGACAAGAGCAGAGCAGCAGGATTCTAGGATGTAGAAAGAAAAAGTAACATCCATTCCAAATGCATCAGGCAGAAACTTGTCCAAGTTGCTGGGCACTATCAAATCTTCGCTGCAAACAATGATGTAAAATTATGTTTCAAATTAAACTGAAAGATAAAATCTTTTCTCTTCCTCTCATAAATCACACTTAAATGAAATATTCTAATTTTAATAGAACCGTTGCAACAGTTGGGAGTGTGCATGTATTGCATGTGGGCTTCCAATAAAGTGGAAGAAACAGATTGTGCAAAAACCTCATGCATGCCCTTGCAGTTACCAGCCAAGTGGATATATCTGCTTGTAGTTGATGGCATTTAACAAATAATCTCATTGGTAAGAAAATTCCATGTTTTCCATAGCCCTGTTCTCCATAGTGGATGGTGACAGAACCTGGATCCACGTAACCATGTCCAGCTGCCCATTGCCATTTCTCACAGGACTTACAAACCTCCTGCACATTTTGGGTACCACAGAATCAGAAATCCACACAAAAGAGCTGGCAATTAATAATTCGCCTGTTATTCACACTGATGTATATTAAATTAGTGATCAAAGAACAGGTTAAAAAGCCATTTTCTTTCTACCTTGTCATGCTGCAGAGGAATCACAAATCGTTTGCAGGCTGGTACGGAGGTAAGCTTGACGTTCTCTTCAAAGTCTTTACCCAGGTTTTTTAAATAAAACATGTCATACAAGCTGTTGTCTGTATAGGCAATAAGATCAAAAACAATGTGGCCATCCTCTTCATAAGCATTTATATGGTGAAAAAACACCATAGCATCGGTATAAAACTTGGTGGACAATTCTTTTTTGGTCTTYCTGTCTATAAAGTGAAACCAAGTCTGAAAGAGAGAAAACATTATTTAAAGCCATTCATAATCAGCAGTTATTTATAAAACTGTTTTCTGATGGTAATTATCAATATTCTAATCAYTGTGTATTTGTACTGAGACATATTAAGAACTCAGGGTTTGCTGCTAGGAGACAAGGGGTTCCAACCTGAAGACCAAAAAACACAGGAGTAAAATGAGTGTGGAACAGCTTTAAGCTCATTTTACTGTTGCACATTACTATTTGAGTTAGGCTGAAGATTGAAGTTTTCSAGAAAAACCTGGAAAATCCCCTGGTCTCTTTTTAATTTCAATTAATCTGAAGTAGAGCTTCAGCATCAGATATTTATTTGAGAAATTTCTGGATATGGGAGACAGTATGTCCCATCAGAAGCTAGACAGCTTCTAAAAAACCTGTGCAACAAGTCAAGGTTTGAAAAAAAGAATGAGTGACTACTGAAATCAATGAACCAGATGAAAAACAGAACAATGTGGAAGAGGTCATGGGCCTGCCTGACTCCATCACTCAGCAGYAGGAAAAATACCTTATCATCCTTGTTATAGGCAAGGCAGGAAGCCCAGCTGACACCTCGGATGTAAGCAGTTGCCATTTTGACAATATCCAGTCTGAAGGGCTGCTCGATGAAGATAATGTAATTCTCTGTGATTCCAAAGCTGTGGTAGTAGCAGGGGTGGAGCAGAGAGCGAGAAGGGATGGAGCAAACCACTTCCAGGTGCTTGAAACAAGATTTCTTCTTTTCTTGTTCTGAATATGAATGATAACATTTAAAATTATATTTCTGATAAATTCTGCTCCGAACTTGTACTTGGATTTCCCCCATGCAGGGAAGAACTAGTTCCTCTCAATTTTATTTCCATTTTCCTGTTAAGAAAGTGGTTTGTTTACTCCTGTATAATCAATATAGAAGTTAGCCTGCAAGAAGCAATGTAGTGAAATCACAATGCTGGATCCATTCAGGGAGAGSCCCCTCATCTTGGGATTTCATTCCACTGGTTACTGTCTTCAAARTTCCAGCATGGAGGAGAAATATGTTTAATTAAATCAGCAGCTTTCAAAAGGGGTTCAAATGCCCCTGTGTTTTTTAACCTCTAAGGAGATGTTCCCAAATTTGAGCCCCAGCTAGAAATCGCAGACTCATGTTTCAGCTGTGGAAAGCTTCTTGATTGTGCAACAAGAGACAGGCAGCTGATTTTAAACAACAACACACACCAAAAAGAGATTACCTTGAAGGAAAAAGAGCAAGTGATTTCCCCTGTGAACAATGCACAGTGTGTCAGCAAGGGCTAGTGTAGGCCAGGTTAGAGAGGCATTAACTCTATGTTAGATTTTATTTGGTATCATGCCTCCCTATAATCAGAGGATCAGCATTTTAAGAGAATTTTCATTTACGAAGAATTTAAAATTTACAACTTCAAATCATATGCACTGCCCTATAGAGAAAATGGTTTTCAGAACCTTCATTTAAAAGTAAGGTTCTTCCTATTGTAATACCCTGTTGACACAGTTCTCAGGATGAGCCTTTGTAACAGCACATGCCCAGACAGGCTAAGCAGTTAACATAAATTCACAATAAGTTGAAATTAAGAAAGTGAACACCATTGGTTGCTAGAAGAGCTGTATCATCACCCTTGCCCTTTGAAGAAAAGAAACTACTAACCAGTTTCTGGAAAATACCAATAACAGATAAGTCTTACCAGGCACAGAAGAAGGAATCTTGTATAGAAGGTATTTTGTCCTCCCTTTATCAACTATTGAAGTGCCCATGTTGAGAACATTTCCATCACTGTCATAGTGTGGGTGAGAAGTTGTCACATTTACAGCTATATATTTGTTGTAGTCAACCTGGAAAATGATACAATAAGAGATTTGAGAATGTGTGAGAGAATTAAAATTGATCTCAACTAACACTACAAATCCACCAGCCTTTTTAGCAATGGCCTTATATTGGCGCCCCATTTACAAATRGCTTTGAAATTTAAATGATTAAGACAAATTACTTCTGTAGGTATTCAAATGATTTCTGAATTCAAGGCTAAAASGAGTTACAGAATCTGAATTGCAGTCACCCCTCCCTTGCAGCCATGTAATATCAGGGGAGGATTGGCTAAAGAAGTTACTTTGCAAATACCCATTTCACCCTGAAAACAGTTTATTTAACAGGCCTGAGTCTGGTAATCYGCTGGACCAAAAAGATTTCTACTTTATCTAAAGTTTGGAAGTTATACTCAAACTGTAGTGGAGGCTAAGAAAAAAAAAATCATTGCATATATTTCAATACCTCAGGTTCTCATTTTAATAATTAAGTAATATCTTACATAAGGTCCTTGAAAACTAGTCATATAACTGGCCTACTGATTTTTTAATTATATAAATAATTTTATAACCAAAGATACATAATAATGGCAACYATCCAAAATAATCATGTAACGGTGGTATTACTGCAACCTTCCTAGATTATGTACAAGTGAAATTTCTCAAAGCTCAGCTTTTCCCAAAGTAAACAGGATTTATATTTGAACTCAGGAGTTCTTAAAAGATCTGGTGTCTTTGCTGTTTCACTTTAGCACGATTTCAAAAGTAAGACAACAGTAAGAGAAAAGTATTTGATGTCCTGAATGTGTTAAAGGATCCTTATGAGTCAGCCTGAAATTTATTCATTAGCAGACAAGGAACCAGAATGACAGATGGTGGTTTGTACCTTGTCCAATGTCTCCAGAGTCTGTGGATTAATTTTCCTGATGAAGTTAGTCTCGCTGGTAGCATAAAAATCATCCCCAGCTTTCATAATGTTGATCAGGCAGTTGTCTGTGAACTCAGGAATGGTGTGAGACAAATAGGAGAATGCCCTGTCCAGAGGGAAATTTCCAGAGGGTTTGTTAGAGCCGTGGAAGCTGGAGCTGCCTGTCCCCCACATGGAACACAAGTGACCCAGCAGTGCCATGGACCTGGGGCTGCTGTGCCTGCTCCTGGCAGCTCCCTGGAGAGAGGGGAAAGCAGAGGGGATGGACTTCTCCAATGGCCTTGGCCCGGGTGAGGGTTAAGGACGTGCAAGAAACTGTTTTTCCATGCACAAATGGGCATCCAGGCCCATTCCCACAGTCAGCTCTAGGACATGCACTGGTTTATCAGCATGGGTTAATCACACACTATCCTGTGTCTATCTTGGGAAAATTTGGCCCAGCAGTTGCTATCTAAGAGCTGGTAGGTTTTTCAGTGTATGCCTTCATAAAACAGATGAATTCATATACTCCCCAACGGAATATTTTTGTTTCCCATGTTATCCTGTAACACAATTACGATTTTAAAGAAGATTGAATTTCACATATGGGCCTGACAGTTTTCTTTATTAGTGTAGRAACTTATCCCAGCCACTGGAAGCCAAATCAAAGTTGTTGTATCCCTTTTGAACCTAAAATGCCAGAGTTACTCTATTGCTGTTGGAAGAGGGAAGAAAATCTTATCTCGGGGGAACAGCTTACAACATATCAGCTCTTTTGCAACAACTGTCTGTGTCTGTGTCTGTGTCCTTACCAAATATCAGGTTCAAGGTCTCTAGAGGTAGTTCAGCCAGGAAAGAGAGAAGGGTGACCTATTTGCACTTGTTAGGGAATTCCTAAAGCAAATTTTATAAGACCAAGGATAACACAATGGCCAACGCTTCGACTCATCTTTAATCAGAAAGCCTTTATGTTTGTTTTTAGCTATTTATGCTTCTCTGTTGAGTAGATTTTGCATCAATTTCTTCCCCATCTCTTAATCTTTACCTTTCTTGCTGCTTCTTTCCTCAGAGAGTATCAAAGCATTTCATGCAACACTTGAGAAAGAAAATGTTTGGTTTTTATACAATCTACTTGTGTTAGTGAATAAAACAACCAATATTGATGATAAAATGAATTTAAAATATTTCCCTTAGACTAAACCCATAGGCAGTACATACCTATCTGCCTTTTCAATATTTAGAAATTGTAAATTTACAAATCAAATGCTGTATTTGTACATAGGTGTCAAGAGTAAACAGAAAGACACCTGTGCTGGAGACAGAAGCAGATAGAAGAATCTTGTTGAGAAAAGCATTSCTTACTTGGCAAATATGTTTTTGCATGGATCTGGATAAGCCATAGTCCCAAACTCAGACACCACAATCCTGTTTGCTTCTATGTTGCAGTTGTACGTGTCACTTCGCAGATATTTACTTCTGTAATAAACTTCACCTGAGGAAGAACAAACTGATTTCAACCACATTTTATACTTAGTCCTTCAAAAAACTAGCTCAGGTAGAGCCAGAGTTTCTCAAGCAGCTGTCCCTTAGCAACAATAGTTTGGAATGAAACCAATGATGTCCTTAACTCCCTATTTTGAAGGTTTTATGGCTGCTGAGATTGGTAAATTTGCCAAGATTCCCTGAATCCCACTACTAACACTGGGGAACTTTTGAGGGGAAAGGATGGATTTGGATAAACTGTTCCAGTAAAATAAAAGAAAGTGTGCAAAAATGATTAATTACACAATCTGTTTATGGGTGGTGATAACTCTCCTGTATTGGCAAAATTTAGTGACAGATTGCTTGAAGGAATCAATGTCTGTCCTAAACAATTTAATGAACATTGCATTTGAACTAACTGAGCTCTGTTTGCTTTAGGTAAGTGAAATATACTGGCAATTTAAAAAACACGGATTATTTCTTCATAGGTTATTTTGTAGAGCTGAACATGCAAGAGATCCTGCAGTTGCATTAAATGCTTCCGATCACAGAAATGGAAACTAAAAAGTGAACACTGGGTTGGAGGATGGCAGGAGTAAATCCCATTGTTTTTATAAATATATATTTTTTGCCACAAGAATCCAGGTGTAAACCACCCYGTCTCACACTGTGAAA